TTCCATTTTGTTAATTTTCAGTCTCCTGCTAACTATTCAAGCTATTCCAGCAGCTGATGACATTTTTTTGATGGATATGTTATTTTTTCACCCACTAACAATTGTATTGAAAGATTTTGCTACTAACTTTGGTTTTCTTTTTTAATTACTTTTTCTGTGTTTGCATAACTATTAAGGGAAGCTTATTGTCTAAATTGGGTAGAGAAACACTGAGCAATTAAAGTAAATGGAATTTAAATTCTTTCTGAAAGCTAGCATGTAAACCTAGTGATGTGTTGGACGTTCTTTAGGAAGTGATAATTTTGCAGTGTGTGACCTGAAGTACTAAGCCTGTCAAATTTAAGAAACCCTTTCAGTAAATGTCAAACAATAGTTCTGCTTGATTTTTATTTCCCCAGTGTGCATAATTTGGCCCAATTCTGTTGCAAGGCCCAATGTATTCAGGATGCAACCCAGAGACATTCAAACAGTAATGCACAAACTTTTAAAAATCTCAGTACAACAAGCACTTTTTAGTGTCCCCTGCACTACCATCACTTTTGTACAAAGGAGCGTGTTCCTCAGTGAAAAACAGATGTAGAGAAGAGATGACAGGATTTGATCCCAAGTCTTCACCCAGGTTGGAAGCAGCTGTAGCATTATTTACTGTATAACAGAGGCGAGGGAGCTTTTCTGAGGCACTGCAGGGAGGTCAGGGCTGAGCTGCAGCCTCAGAGCACCCTTTGCACTGTGCTCCTGACTGGCTTTCCAGCTGGGCTTGTTGCTTCCAGACCTCAGTGCTCCAGACCTACTGGATCCCAATGTACTTGGTTCAGTCCTTACAGCTGCAAGAAAGAGGAGGGGAAAAAAAAAGCAAGCAAACAGAAAACTTGCCTCCCCTTTTTATGGGTTCGTGGCCTAAAGGAGCTGCCAGTGTTTCTGTCATTTTGGAGAACTGGCTGGTAATAGTTTGAGAGACAGGTTAGACAAGTTGTTAGAGGGCAAACTCTTTGTCTCTCTCACTTTGGAACTGCTGTTGGTTTTAAAATTAATTTACCTCCATGCGCAGCTTACTTTATAGAAGATTGAATTAAGACTGTAGCTTGTTATTACTGTAAAGAGGAAAAGAATGTTTTGTGCAGGACTGTCAGTCATCCACTGGTTCCTGCAGAGCAGCATTTTGTTTGCTAGTTGCAAGACAGATGTTAAAAAGTAAAACACCAAGTAAAAACCACCTTTATCAGCATGGTGGGGAATTTTTCCTGGGTAATTCCAAAAGTCTTAAACTTAGTAGAAAAAATATTGCAGTTAAGGAGCCTCTTCGCTTTTGTTGATTCAACTAATCCTGTTACCTTCTTGGCTTAATTACTATAACTCTGAAGGTAATTCAGTGCTTATTCTGCAGCATATGAATTCCCCAAAGTGGTAGTGCTTGCCAGTATTATTGTATTACCTGTAAGCTTGTATTCCTGTTTGCATTTTTTAATAAAAGCACAAGACCTGCTTTTTTCTTCTGTAGTCAAACTTCACTTGCACTTTTTAAATGTTTTCTCTCAAGTGCTATAGTATTTAAATGGTTTCCTAACAGTTCTTTTAAATTAATTAATTAATTTCTACGGGGAGGTAGGAAAATAGATATTTTAAAAAACCCCAAGAATGTTGTGACTGCATTAAATAAAAACCTTAATTTAATATTTAATTACTAAAACTTTTCCCATGTGAAAGCTTTGTGTTTTCCTTTTAAGACTAATAGTTTTTTCTTAATATATGAGCTACCAAACTATGTTAACAAAGTCTTAATTTTAGTGTTTCTTTGCTGAGCAGAGTTGACCAAGAGCTGAATGGAAAACAGGAGCAGAAAAGTGAACAGTAAGTCTGGAGCGCAAACAAGACTGAAGAATATGCAGATGGGATGATGCTGTTTCCATTTCCAATGTGTTCTCTGTGTGTATGTATCATATAACCTGTTGCAAAAGGTGCTTTGGACTAGCACAAGAACTGCTTCCTGCTGTATTGGTTTGTCTTGACTTTAATAGCTGTTTATGTACTCGTTTTATACTGCTAAATGTCAAAGAACCCTATGTTTTTCAGAGGATGTTCTTGCCATTGTTTATCTAAATGATGCATGTTCTTCAGTAAAATATTTATATACCTAAATGTTAAAGGAAAGAGATAATATATATTTTTATGACTGAGCAATATATTGTGTGTGCCTGCTGAAGGAGTTCATTTGCAGGTAGACAAGGCCGTAAGTTACTTGTTTTTATTGTATCAATCTGTTTTGCTGTAAATGGTCAAGTGCATTTCTTCATTGTTGCAGGAACTTGTTTGGTTATTAACAATCACATGAAGTCTTTCACGAGTGCAGAGACCCTTCTTTTTGCTCACACACCCAATACAGGCTCACTCCCTACCTTGAGAGCCCTTCAGTCCCCTGTCCAGGGTCCAGAACTGCAGTTCTGGGAACATCAGGCTCTTGGCCAAAGGGTCCAAGCCTGAGACACAACAGAAGCTGAACTGTTTGAATGACTAGTAAAGTATCAGACCTTTCTCAGCTGAAGTTGTGAATTTATGATCTGCTTCAGGACATCCAGACTGTCTCAGCTCCTGCTATGAAGTGAGTTCATTGCAGTTCTTCCTGGATGAACCTTGGTTGTCCGTAGTAGGAACTCTGGTCATACTCAGTAGAACTTGGGAGTTACACAGTTATTCCAGCCATAATACCATTTTTTTTGGCAGAAGTATGGGGAGTCTTATGCTACCTGTGTCATCCCTGGAGAAGAAACATCTGTTTCGAAAGCTCTTAATTTTTGCACGTGATACAGCAGTACTTTACTTTTACAAAAGTGATTTAAAGGTTGGGGGTTTTTCTGCTCTCCACAACGGTGGTAAACCTGTGTCTGTAAGAGGTGTTCTTGGACACATCACTACTGTTTATACGTTTATTGAGGCAATCGTAATGCAGCGGGGAATATGTTGGAGAAGTTTGTAACATCTGATAAACATTGCAATTTCCCTGTAAGGACAGGTGCATGCAAATAAATTCATTCAGGAGTTGAGCAATATAATGTTCTAGCAAATATATTAAATCTTTGCTTTTGATGTTTATTGTGCTCACAATTTTGTCTTTGCCAAAAAATATCACTTCTCAATTATATCTGAAGTTAGTGTTACTCAGTTACGTTATTAGAAAAAAATCTGGTTGTGTTCAACCACATTACTGCCTGACACTAATAAACAGCAGCTGAGAGAGAGTTCTGGGGTCAAGATTTTGCAATTAACAATCTGCTGTCTCTAGTGATACCTGTACAGACTCTGGGAGCACACTGATGTCAGGTGAGGGGAGCTTGCCCGTGTCTCTGGAAGGTTAAGTCTGCAGTTTGAAGATGTTCCTCTTGAGATCAAAGTTCTTTTGTTACAGTAGTTTCAAAGAGATTAATAAACAGGGTGTACTTGTATAAGAGGCCGTACCAATGTCAAGATGCCTTGCACACATTCCATCAGGTTTGGCTCTTGCTCTGAGGGCAGAGCACAAATGCTAACAGTTTCTTTTGGGCTGCCTTATCTCCTGCCTCAGTTTCCATGTTGACCCAGATTAATGTCAAGTTTAGTCAGTAAACTGGGCACTTGCAGCCTTCTGATCCTTTGACAGTGTACATGCAAACCTGATTTTTACTGGGTTTCCATGCATCCTAAGCTAAACAGTAAACATTCTGATGATCTCATTTCCATTTTTCCTAACTGAAGAAAGGTTTATTCTCAGTGGAGGGGTTGTAGTTCTCTCTGCCCTGTTCCTCTCTCTGTGTATAGTGCAGTGTGGAGAAGCAAGTGCTCTCTATGTGCCATATTTACCAAATGATGGGATTGTTGTTATGTTTCCTGCTGGCCAAGTGAGTCCACAGTTTCATGCTGCAGGAGTTTGATTTCTTTTGGAGACGTGTATGTGTTTCCCAAATGGTTTATTTCTCCAGTATAAGTTGTGAGCACAACAGCTCTTCTGTCCCTAAAGATACGCAGCCTGAGAAAGAGGTGTACTAAAGAATTATCCCCCTCTGACTTCTTGCAGCTCATCATTGAATGGTGAGGTGGATGTTTACAAAAAACAAAGTGGTCCCAAAGTTATGAGTAATGTTTTGTCAAACTTATCTTTTTTTGAAATCTATAATATAATGTAATATATTTTAATAATTAAAAACATGAAAAGTTGGAATGTCGTACTTTAATAAAAACGATTTCAAAACTTGAATAAACTTTGTGATAAGATACAGTATTGTAGGGAATTCACCTTTCAGTGGCACTTCTAAAAGTAAGACTCATGTTGCTAGAATTCAGTGAGCAGAGTTAAGAAAAGGTAATTTCATGAGTCACTAATTTCCCTTTGCCTTGGAGGTCTCGTTAGTTTATATATAAATGCACAGCAATAAGTCATTGCCTGTCTCCTGTTACTGCTGTGGACAACTGAGAGAAGGTTTGGGCCAGTGGACTCTCCATGGATGTGACATTAAGTAAAATGATTTCTGCAACAGGGTAAGTCTTCAGAAGTGGCAAAGGGATTTTGGAGAAAGTGTCATTAAAAACTGATGTGAGTAGACTCTGGATTGAATGTTCTTGACGTTCTGTGTAAGATGGCAGAGCCATGTTATGTTGGAAGGGAATGGAAAGGGATCTGCAAGGATTTAGTGCTGCAGCAGATTGGAGTCTTTGAGCTTCTGGGATGTTGAAATGGAGAATTTTTATTCCAAAAAGCATGGAACTAGTTGGAATAACGTGTAACTGTGTTCATAACAATGCAGTTTATCATATGTTTCCTTTATTTTCAGTGAGGAATAGCACTGACTGCTGTGAGGAGCTGTACTGACAGTTACCCTCTGACTGCACGTGACTAGGGCAGAACCTGTCTTTGTTAGCATGTTGCAGCAGATTTCTTGCATCGCACACTGAAGTGCTCTAATGACACCCTCAAACCTTCCAGCAGGTCATTGGTGTCACTTCAAGATGAGACTACAGGTCAATCTAACGACATGACCTCCAAGTGTCATAGGGAGGAGAAGGTGGCCTTGGTGCCTGCTCCTGTCAGCTTCACTGGTGGCATCTACTGAACCATCTGTGCTGAACTGAAAATAATAGAGATACACTGGGAGTGGGCACTTTTCTAAACTCAATCCGTCACAAAGTTTCTCGGTGAAAAGCGTGTTTCTTTCAGTGTCAAATTTTTGTTGGTGTATCCTATGGATTTATACAACATTTACTGTCTAGAAAAATGGTTTCGATTCATGTCTTCTCAAAAGCTGTTGTTTTTGGAGATGACTTTAATTCTCAAGTCATTCCAGTCTCCCTTAGAAAAGCCTCATGTGAGGAACAGAGGAGAGGGATAACAGCTGGTGTGCCTTTTGTAACTGCAAAGTCTTACAAAGCTCTCAGTGAAAATTTTTACTCAGTCCTTGTGAATGCAGGTCATTCTCTAGGACTTGTTTCACCGACTGGTTGTTGGAGATGCTTGAAATAAGTGCTTTAATTAATTAATACTTTTTAAGGACACCTGGCTTTAGTCAGAGTAGCATTCTGAAGTATAACAAATATTTAAGTGTTTGTATTCTGAAAGACCTGTGCTGCAGCTTTCTTAGCTTCAAAATTCTAAGCTGAACTGCACTGTTCCCTTTATCACGTCTCATTCCCATATTGAGCTAACAGGAAAAAAGGGCATTTGTGAAGACAAGAGGGTGCAGTTATGTTGGTTTTTCCTGATTCCCTTCAAGCATGACTGAGATCACTGACATTAAAACCATTCTTTGCTCAACTAGATCTTTTTTCAGTTTTGCAATCTGGACTGCCCAGATTACTCTGATTTAAAATTAATGGGCTTTTTTTTTTTTTTTTTTTTAGTATTGAAAATAATCTGAGAAGAAGCTGCTGGAGTGTTTTCCAAAGTCAGGTCTTCTCTTACCACGCTCCTTGCTCAGCTTGCACAGCTGATAGTTAATATTTATGACATGGAATTCCAGGTTAATAATTATAAAGAAGAATTCACGGAGGACAGATGCTCACGTTCCTGCAGTTCTGCAGTGTTTCTTAGTCATCATTAATAAGACAGGGCTGAACAGTGGGGTGCTCTAATGGTTGAATGGTAGATAAAGGGTTACCAGAGCAGGATTACATTGTCAGTATCTGTAAACTCTAGTATGTGTGATGTGGGAAATAGGCAGTATTTAACACAACGGAGCTGCAGTAATCATAGAGCACAGCTTGTGAATCACGGATAATAGAACTGGCATGATTTGGCTGCTACCATTCGTCACCGCTGTGACTATTTTCCTTTGCCCCTTTAATATAAAAAAATGTAAGTACCAGACTCTTCACCTACCTCTTAAGAATATTATGACTTTCTTTTTAAATAAGCTTCTCTTTCCTGTGTTCCGAGGGGTCGCGGGGTGACAAACCCGCCTGCGAAGGAATGTGCGGGCGGTTATTGCTGGGGGGGAACCCGCGTGTCAATAAAGCCCTGCCGAGAGGGCCGGGGGTGTCACTGCAGCGGGCGCGGGGGTGGCCCTGGAGGATCGGCCCCGTGTCTGTCTGTCCGTGTGGGATCGGCCCGTGTCTGCGCGTCTGTATGTCTGTCTGAGATCGGCCCCTGTCTGTGTGTCTGTCCGTGTGGGACAGGCCCCTGTCCGTGTGTCTGTCCGTCTGGGACAGGCCCCTGTCCGTGTGTCTGTCCGTCTGGGATCGGCCCGTTCCGCTTCCGGGTCACGGGCCGGCCCGGGCGGGGCCGCGGCGCTTCCGCCCGTGAGCAGCGGTGAGGAGGGAACGGGGCCGGGATCGGGATCGGGGCTCACGGAAGGGGCTTCCCGGGGCCGGCCCGTTCCCCGGTGCGGGGAGTGCGGCGGGGCCGGGGCCGCCCGTGTTGGGGGCGCGGGGCCGTGGGGCCGAGCAGGGCCCGGCTGAGCTGGGAATGCCCGGGATTTCCATCACCTCCCGGGCCGAGCAGGGCCCGGCTGAGC